GAGGAAGGGAAACCTCTCTGGTGCCTGCCCACGGGAGGTGGGACAAGTCTGTCGTGGGGGAGGTTGGTTGGGTATCTGCATGGTTTGCATGGAGGTGACTTGGGCTGGGAAGCCACCTATAGGTTTAACCCAACAGAACACGTAAGAGACCTCTGCTGCAAGCTGGATGCTACCTGCAGCCTTCTCAAAACTCCAGGGTTGCAGGGACCACCCCCAAAACAGGGATCCTGCAGGATGAGGGGAGACCTCCCAGGCCTGCAGCTCTTTGAGGAAAGGGACACAGGATGGGATGGTGCTGCTCTTCTCCCTGCTCCGTCAGATTTGGGTTCTCTGCACATCTCCAGGCTGCCCGAAGCCCCTTCCCCCATGAGCAGGCCTCCTGCTCACCCTGGATAGGTACTGCTGCTATTTCCCAGGCAGCACCTACACGTTCTGCAGTGGCCCAGCAGACACGGGCAACTTGAAGCCCAAGAGGCAGCTCATTCTCACATGCATCCCTCCTCCTCCCACCTCAGCCACCTCCGCCGCCAGTTTGTGGGCTTAGGTCCCACCCACGAGTTCTCCCCTTGGCCTGCTCAGCTGGAACCCACCTCCTGGCTGCCCATGTCGGTCTTCACCCAGCCAGGGTGAAGAGCCACACAGAGGATCCCAGCTTCTGCGTAGGTCAGAGCCTGGCACTTGGTGAGCATGTTGAGGGCAGCCTGAGGGTGGGAAAAAAGCAGAAGAAAGCTCCACACATCAGGCTCCCATCACTGCCTGGTGGTGAGCAAGAAAAAGCAATGCCAGGTCTTCAAGGGATAGTGTGTGTCTCTCCTCTCAGTGGGCTGCAGCTGGGCATGGAGGTGCCCAGGGAGCTTGGGCAGGGATCAGCATGGATCAGCCCCTCCATCTCACGATCTCAAGGTGCTTCCCTGAAATCAGGCCTGGCAAGGGGCAGCTCCAGCTCCCGCCGAGCTCAGGAGCACGGGCAGGTCCCACGGCTCCATACCTTGCTGCAGCGGTAGGAGATGACGGGCTTGCAGAAGGACTCAGGAGTTCTCTCGATGGACCCCATGATGGTGGAGATGTTGATGATGGCTGCCTTGCTGCAACTCAGCCCCTTCTCTGTGCTCTCCCGAGCAGCCTTCTTCAAGAGGGGCAGGAACGCCTGGGCAGAAGCGGCCCCATGGGACACCCAAGCCAGCCCCGCCTACGGCGAGTGCAGCCCAGCCTGCTACAGCAGGGAGGATGAGGAGGAACGGCGGGAAGGCAACAGCACCCACACGTTCTACTGCAGTGGCCCTGCCCGCTCCCAGCTAGCCCAGCACAACATTACGGAGCTGGGAACACTCAGGCTGGCAACCCCCTCCTTCCCGCAGCCCTGGGAGACTTGGCAAAGCCCCTCAAGGTCTCCGTTGCGCCCACAGACAGCCTGAGCTGCCCTCAAGCTGGGCCAAATCCTCCCTCCATGGTGAGCTCCACCCATACCTGAGCCATCAGCATCGGCCCCACCGCATTGGTCTTGTAGGTCCTTATCATCTCTTCAGCGTCCGCCGTCTCCAGCGAGGCCGTGGGGGTGTAGATGCCCGCATTGTTGATCAGCAGGTTCAAGCCCAGGCCGTTCAGCTTCCCCTCCACGATCTTCGCCGCGTCAGTAATAGCAGAGGGGTTTGCAACATCTGCAGGGGAAGAGAATAGGGTTCAAGAGCCATGAGGTCCAGCCTGGGGGCCTCGGGGAGGAGAGGGAGCTGAAGATCAGCTCGGTGTGGTCTTCCATCTCTGGGCACCAGATGGTGCTGTGCGACCAGCTCAGAGCACCCCAGCACCCGCAAGGCCCAACTTCGCCCCAAACTGCCTCCTCCACCATGAGTGGGGTGCCCCACTACCAGCAGCTGAAGGATCCTGCCCTGGGGCAGCCCACCAGGCAAAGCCACCCTGGGGACAACCTCATGGTGGCAAAGTGCTGCTGGGACTCCCACGTTGTGTCAGGCACCAGCAGGCACAGGCTCCTGTCAGTGGACAAAGTCCATGACTGAGCAAGCTCTGGAGGAGCCAGGGCAGTCTTGGCAGAGGGACAGTCCTCACGGGGGCTGTGCTGGGACCTGCTGTGGGATGGCTCCGAGAGGTCCTGCAGCTCCTGCCCAGGCTCCTTCTGGAGCTCCTTCCAGCTGTCTTCCTCCCCAAATCCTCCTGGTCTCACCTGGGACTTCAGACCAACACAGCTCAGCTGTGTGGCAGAGCAAGGAGATGGCCACTTGGCTCGGGGAGCTGAAGGCCACCCAGGATGGGTCTTGAAACCTCCTGGTCCTGTGGCCATGGTGCCAGAAGGCTCCAGGGAACGAGGTACTGGGACTGAAAAAGGTCTGGAGAAGCTGGGCTTTCAGCAGCAGGACTTGGAACAGCTCTGAAGAACTAGGTCCCCATACGTAGAGCCTCAGGGCAAGGAGGGAGGAAGGGAAGGAGAAACGGAGCAAGTGTGGCCAGCAGCCACAAATCTACCAGCTCAGAGGCAGAGCACACCTACCCAGCTTCACAAGAACCAGGTTTGGGTGTTTGGATGCCAGATCTCTCAGCTCCTACAAAAAAGAGACATGGAAACAATCAGTGCGAGGCAGGGGTAGTGCCAAGCACCATCCAGGAGCATCAGTGATGGTCCAGCCCGAGGGAAACATTTCCAGATGTTACTCAGCACTTGTGAATGGCTGGACCTGGGGCCACACCCAGGTTCTCAGGCTTCTTCTAGCTTCCACAAAGCAACATGCATATGCTCAGAAAGACACATGGCCAAAACTGTAAGATACTATGGTCACTCTCCAAAAGGGTCTATGTGGACAACACAGCCAGAGCCACAGCAAAGGATGAGAGCAAACTATTAAGGACCAGCTTACCCAGGAAATGATGCAGACTGGCTGGGATATAGCCAGAAGCATCTCCCAGAGGCTGCTGAAAGCCAGATGGAGGAGGAATGGCTGCGAGTGCCAACATCAGGCTTGATGCTGCATCCAAATAGCCCAGTCCCAGGACCCACTCGGCTCTGGACTCCACATCTCACCCACCAAGTGGAATGAACCACTCTGCACGGTTTTATTGCTTATTTTCACCAAACACAGAGAATTCAGAAGTCCTTTCCATGAAGGAAATGCTCAACGTCATGGTTCCTGAAGGTCTTTGCTCTGGGCCTTCAACTATAGCAGGTTTTAGACACCAGAAACCAAAATACCACGTTCAATGTGTCCAAAACATTTGCTTTTAGAATCAAAACCTTTAACAATCAAGCCCAGCAGTGAATGCTACAGGAGAAATGCAGATTGGTGGCTTCTTGTGAAGGGAACCATCCTATGAACACAGAGCAGGACAGCTGCTGGCACTGGCTGTGGTCCACCTGCAGACATCTCTGGGCTTCCCCACCAGGCCCCACATTCCCCTATGGCACAGGAAATGATGGAAAAAATTAATCTAAAGAGTTTGTGATAACCAACAGACATTTCTCCTCCCCTGTTTCGCCCAGCTGCTGGCTTCAACAGCCTCACCCAGCCCAACATCTGATCCAGGTACAAAGAGGCAGGAGGAGCAATGTGGTTCTTGGGGTGGCACCAGCCTGATGGAGGATCACTCTGTCCTCAGTCTTCTGTGGTCATGGACTTCAGCAGCAACAACCTGAATCTGCTCTCACCCTACCACAGCTGGACAAGGCTTAGAGAAGCATCCCATGGTTGAGAGTGATGTGCATGGACCACCCTGGGGGAAAACCAGCTCCACTCCATCCCTGCAAAGAGTCCTCTGATCTCATCATTGCCCAAGCCCAGCAAGTCGAGGGGGGAGAAGAACAGGGCAGAAATAAGAGTGTAATGCTGGCAGCTGCACATGAAGAACATCTCAAGGACTTCCCACGGTGTAATCCCTGCACACAGCCAAGCTGCAAGAAGATGCAGCAAACAGTCAGCTGGAGCCAGGATCTACCTGAAGTAAAACATCTCCCTGATGGTATTTTGGTGGGCCACAATAAGCAGAGGAAAGCCAAAGCTGGAAGCACAGTGGTGCTTTCTGCGATTTCCTG